AGTCGCACCCACCGGGATTGGGGGGGACACACACACGACACACGGCGGTGGGATTTTGGGGAGTCTGAGGTCTCCGGGATGGCCAGGGTCTGGAGGAGCTGTGGTGTGTCCAGGGCAGCCTGCTGGGGGCTGCAGGGAGGAGATGGGGGAGGTGGTTTGGGGAAAGCCCCTCCAGGGAGCATCTCTTCCCCGGAGCTTGGTGGCGGGATAGGCAAATCCTCCTCGGGAATCCCTTTCTTTCTAGTTATTGTCTGATTTCTAGAATCTTCTCCTCTATCCCCAGAGCAAGGGAAGATGACATCTCGGCTCCTCTGAACCACCAGCAGCACCCAGGGACCAGCGGAGCCATGGAGCTGGAATACGAGCTGCCCAACGCCACCGCCTTCTGGTTCTCCCCGGCTTCCCCCTTTGACAACTTCTCCGTGGAGGCGCCTACCAACGCGTCGCAGAACGCCACGGGCCATCACTTCGACCTCACCAGCAACGCCATCCTCACCTTCATCTACTTCGTGGTCTGCATCATTGGGCTGTGCGGCAACACGCTGGTGATATACGTCATCCTTCGTTATGCCAAGATGAAGACCATCACTAACATCTACATCCTCAACCTGGCCATTGCAGACGAGCTTTTCATGCTCGGCCTGCCCTTCCTGGCCATGCAGGTCGCCCTGGTACACTGGCCCTTTGGCAAAGCCATCTGCAGAATTGTCATGACGGTGGACGGGATCAACCAGTTTACCAGTATCTTCTGCTTGACGGTTATGAGCGTTGACCGGTACCTGGCTGTCGTCCATCCCATTAAATCTGCCAAGTGGAGACGGCCCAGGACAGCCAAAATGATCAATGTGGCCGTTTGGGGCGTCTCCCTGTTGGTGATCATGCCCATCATGATTTATGCTGGGGTACAGCATAATCACGGCAGGAGTAGCTGCACCATCATCTGGCCAGGAGAGTCAGGCGCCTGGTACACGGGCTTCATCATCTACACCTTCATCCTGGGCTTCCTGGTGCCTCTCACCATTATCTGCCTTTGCTACTTATTCATCATCATCAAAGTCAAGTCCTCGGGCATCAGAGTGGGCTCGTCCAAGAGGAAAAAGTCCGAGAAGAAAGTCACCAGGATGGTCTCCATCGTGGTTGCTGTCTTCATCTTCTGCTGGCTCCCCTTCTACATCTTCAACGTCTCCTCCGTCTCCATCCTGATCGTGCCCACGCCCGTCCTCAAGGGCATGTTCGACTTTGTGGTGGTCCTCAGTTACGCCAACAGCTGCGCCAACCCCATCCTTTACGCCTTCTTGTCCGACAACTTCAAGAAGAGCTTTCAGAATGTCCTCTGCCTGGTGAAGGTCAGCGGCATGGACGAGGCGGACCGGAGCGACAGCAAGCAGGACAAATCCAGGCTCAACGAGACCACCGAAACCCAAAGGACCCTGCTCAATGGTGACCTGCAGACGAGCATCTGAGAGGACGGCGGGGTTGTCCTTCCTTCGCTCTCCTCTCCCCACTTGCTCCCAACGGGCAGTGGCATGTACGGAGCCAACGCAGGAGAGCCAGCTTAGGGGACGGCGGGGCACACACCGAGGGGCGGCGAGGGTCCTCAGCTGGGCTCCCGCTCAGCTGCTGGTGGGTTGGCTTTCGAGTGCTGGGAAGGATACGGTTCAAGAGGAGCTGCCTCGCCAGGAGAACAGAGACAACTTGGAGCCATGCAGCGCGTTTCAACACCAAAGTGCCACCGTGGGCCACAGGGATTGCTGGGGTGGCTCCGCTGCCTTCCCCAGTGTTACCCTTGGGGCTGGTTGCTTTTGGGGTGCTCTGCCCCGGAACGGGTGCTTGCAGGTGGACACACGCAGCGGGGTGACCTCAGGGGGAGCCGAGGCCACGGGTGTGTGCCGACGCGTGTGCCACGGCGAAGATGCACAGTCCCGTGGCCAAGACCTGGTGGGAGCTCCCCGGAGTGCTCCCGCAGTCACCCTCCCCGAGGAGACGAGGATATTTGGGGTTGCATTTGGGGCTTACAAGTTACTCTCTTGTCTCCCCTCCCCCCAAGCCTCCCTGCTGCTGTTTGACCATGTTTGCAACAGCCGCCCTGCCCGGTGATGGCACGCCAGGCCGTGCGGCTCTGCCACCCTGGAGACCTGGTGGGAGCTCCCCGGAGTGCTCCCGCAGTCACCCTCCCCGAGGAGACGAGGATATTTGGGGTTGCATTTGGGGCTTACAAGTTACTCTCTTGTCTCCCCTCCCCCCAAGCCTCCCTGCTGCTGTTTGACCATGTTTGCAACAGCCGCCCTGCCCGGTGATGGCACGCCAGGCCGTGCGGCTCTGCCACCCTGGCAGCCCCTCTGGTCCCACCACGCTCCAGAAAATGAAAAGACTTAGTTGTAGGAAGATCCTCTGTGCAGGTGGTCATACTTGTATATTTTTAGGCTTTCAGGGTGAGAAGGAAGGCTCAGCTTGCTTGGTTGAAGGAGGTCTTAGTTGACTCATGTTTAGTAAATGTCTTTCGCCCGCATCTGCTCACGGTCAGTCCCACGCTGCGCCGGCCACCGACACCACGGCTCTCCCCAGCAGCCACGGCACGATCGCCCGGCACCAGTCCCTGGTGGGAAAATCCTCGGAAGCGTTTAAAGAGCAGAAACCCCCTGGGGGTTTGGAGCACCCTGGCATGGCCTGCGGCACATCCCGCTGCCAACGGCTCCTACCCCTGGGTGAGATCCGGGCTTTGTCTGGCCGTGGCTCCG